GAGCTGAATGGGCTACCCTGTGTAAATAAAGTTTACTTACTTACTTACTTACTTACTAATGTTTTTCTTGCGCGGAATCTAAGCGGGCAATCCCGAGCGGGCAAGATGGGCTTGGGTAGCCAATCAGAACACAGGATTCGCTTGATATTACCCACGGGCGCTGCCAGGGTTATCATAAAGTTTTAAAGCACCTTGTAATGTAGACTTGAGATTATTCATTTTGTTTCTTTCTTTTTAAGCTCGTAGGTTTATTGGCTGTATCTTCCCCTAAAAAGTTTTGAAATTCCAAATTTATGGGAGGTTGACTCTGAAAATGTGAAAATTATCTACCATTGCAACATTTTTTTTTTTAGATTTCAACGTTCGCTTGACTGGATCCAGATTTACTTTTGCCGGTACAATCGAGGTGATGTTTTACGGAGTCTGGGGAGGAGTACTTGGCCAGGGTTATGTTGATATTAATGCAGGTCATGTGGTGTGTCGTCAGCTGGGATATCCGGGCGCTGATTATATTTTCCAATACGCAGATTTTGGGCGATTGAATGGGCCATTGTGGATATGGAGGATACGTTGTAATGGGAATGAATCGAGTATCTCAAACTGTGCGGTAACCACATGGGACAAGATCACATCCGTATGGAGTCATATATATTACCAACGACCATATTTTGCAGCCGGCGTTTTGTGCAGACAGGCAAATTTCAACCCGTCTCAAAGTAAGTCACAACTGGCCGTTCTATTCAGTGATAGCGTCAATTCTGAAAGAATCTTCCACGCTAGTTTTAGTGATAAAGGCCCAACCTCCTTGAAAAATTCAAAGGGGGTCATTTTCAGGTACCACTTTGTGGAGAGAAACAAAGACGACAAGATATTTTTGTGATCTACAGTTTTATTTTTATTTCGGTTTTAATGATATTCCAGATACTTTTTTTTACTGCCTTCAATGCCTCCGAAAAAAAGGAGTGAGGTTATGATCTTTTAAAGATGGAAAAAAAGAAGGATTTCTAATTTAGTTGACATAGGGTAAAGAATCAAACAACAACAAACATATGAAACATATGTGTGAACTGCGGTTATGAGACGTATATGAGCACGATCCTTCGCAGTAAAGCACTATTTGAGCAATAGTGAAAATCAGACCTGAAAAAAAAGATGTTGGCATCCGTTTAACTGGTTCCAACGTGACATTTGCTGGACGTGTTGAGGTTCTTTCTTATGGAGTCTGGGGACGTATCGATGGATCTTCGTCTTGGGATAGAACAGAGGCTGAAGTGGTATGCAGACAACTTGGTTTCCCAGGTGTCGTCACGGGTTGTACATTTTGCATATATTTAACTGCTGAACAGTTTAAACCCTCTCCATCCTCAAACATTTTTGTTCCAGTTTCTTTTGTATGCTTTTTCTTTCGTAAGCGAATTAATATTTTGCGCATCCTTCAACTCGCGTAGTTTTGAACATCACGAAACATGACTCAAATTATTTAGAGGAATTTCGTACTTTACCCCAGTATGAAAGAAGTTAGACAGTTAGGGCCTCAGGAACTCTCTATAAGAGGGTTGAGATAACCAAACAAATGTTCCACCATCATCATAATACGCTCTCGGCAATCCTGACACTGTTCACCGAAATAAATGTTAAGGTAAAAGGTTCGGCTGAATTGAAAATGGCTTTGAGCGCGGTTTTGTTAAACAACGGCGAAACTTTGTTAAATGAACGGCCCTAAGGGTTTGCATGTGTTACTACTTGTAAAAAAAAAAAATGTCTATCTTTAAGGAGTGACAAATTGGGAAAGCGCAGTGCTTTCTCTGCATGCATCGCTTATGCTTTTCAACCTCGTTCTTAAAGGCAATTCCCCCCTCCCCCCCCCCCAATCCAATGCGCGAGGGGCACGACAACACAGTTACCCGCGAGGGATTAATGGGAAGCGGGCGTGAGCTCTAGAAACGAGTGTTTTAATTTGCCAGAGGTCCAAAAGACACGCTTCGTTGATAACCCTGGGTAGGTTTGTTGCCTGTTGCATGTAATTGTGTGTGGGATCTTAGTTAATTCTTCTCGTACTTTTTAACGCTAGGCAATTATTTTTTTGAAACCAAAGCTGCCGGGAAAGTCTTTGTCCCTCGAGGTATGTGACAAGAAGTTTTGTTTTCGTTTTCTCAGCAACTTCGGAGATTCGTGCTCAGAGTCTGAATGCGGTATCATAACTAGTCTTCTTCATAACCTTTTATCCTGAGGCAGTAAGTGCCGAGAATACTTAATTTGCTCAAATAGCGAAAAGTTTCCTACTGGTAAGGGATTTATATTGTTTCGGTAGAGCTTAAAACCCAATACAAGGACCCAAGTTTTGAAGCGGTGTCAAAAATAACAACAAGACCGGTAGGATTTATGTCCTTGAGCTCACAACGTTATACGTTAACCGTTCAACTGCTGTGAAGTTTTACTAGCAAAAGGTTGTCAACCAAGATAGTTCTGATTTTTCGCTTATCAGTCAAGTTCAGGACAGTGATGAACAACCGTAATTTAGAGAAAGGGAAACAGATGAATTCCTTTTTCTCGACCCGGAAATGTTTCGAATTATTTTAATTTGCGCCAGGTCTTGAGCAAGATTGCATGGTTTCGCTCAGAAATTGGAAAAGCTTACTGTGCATCTTAGTTTACTGGGAAGAAACTTTCGTGGGTATGTAAACTGATAATCACGAGAGACACTCGGCTTGTTTTCGATTTTGTATTCGTGATATATAGAGTCGTTACAACTAACAAGCAGTTGTCAAATCAATTCAATTTCCATTTTAAATATTGTTCGTGACCTCCGGAAACAATAGAGCCACAAAGCAGAACAAATTTTTATTTAACTCAGACGTAGCGAAAAAAGGGGTTTGCTTTTTGTACGCATGATTAAACTCTTCAGTTTTTAGATAATTTGGTATTTTCAACTGAGTTGATAACGTGAATTGGCCATTACAGAAAGATTCGAAAGTTCATGCGTCGAGCGTTAGGCCTTCTTCAGAGCGATTCAGAAAAAGAGCTCAGCTTACTCTTTGTGGTGGCCAATTTAAATGCAGACACAGAGAATCAGACTAAGTGACTGACCTACAATGTCTAATTTTGCTGTAATAAATGACAAGGTTTTGCTTTGAGATTTCACTTTTCTTGTCACAAACAATGTTATTTCCATTTCATGTCAAAGCCGTTTTTCGTGACCTCGCGAAATGGTAGATCCGCCAAGCGTGACAAATTTCCATTAAACTGAAACTCAAGAAAACAAACTGGGTTACTGACATGCCTTTGACATGCCAGGCCTTTATTTTTCGCTGTGATAAATGCCGGAGTTTTGCTTCTCGGTGTCTTGGTTATGTCACGAGAAATCATGAAAGTTATCTCTTGTGATGATTTCTTGACTAGCACTGAACCACAAGTAAAAATCTCTAAACCGTATTGTTCTTCTCCTGTCCATTCAAAATATCCGTTCTAGTTGTCGGAAGGGGAGCTTTATCAGTTACTCATATTGCTCGTAGTAGAAGTTACATGTGCGGCAACGTGATCCTAAAACCCGTAATGAACAGGGGATCAAAATGTTTGGGATTTTCCGGATCCTTTCACAAGGTCATTGATGAGAGTATCTCAGTGTGTGGGCTGTTTACGTTGCTTTCTAATTAACCCACTTTTCTGCATCACATGCTTTTTTGTTGAAATGAGTCGACGCGAACGAAACGTTTCTCCTTTAGGTACCACAAACTCAAGAGTTTTAAGTGTCAGAAAAAATGATCTCGTTGTCAGCATTGACGTTCATGAGGCTTGTGCTGTACTATTCCGGTGGGTATTACTTTAATTTTGGAGAAATATTCTAATGAGTTTCGTCCAGTTGGAAAAATGAAAGACTGAAATAGATCACCCTAGAGACATATGACGAATTCAACAGTCGTTAATTGGTAGATGTGCCGGTTATATCATTAAGCAACATTTGTTAAAGATACATATGCCTATGTACATATATACACACACTGCCATAGAAACTCGGCAGCTAAATAGTTTTTAAAATCACACCAACAGTGTCATTATGGAGTTTTCTCTTTGTTTCTGTTTGAATCTTGAGGCTTTTTCAAGATCATATCCATATATTCCTGCTTTGCGGAGGAGGAGGGCTGCGGCATCTCGCGGCATCTCGCGGCATCTCCCTTCTCATCAACCCAGTAGCCGGGACCAGTTAAGTATGGGGCTGACAAGGGTGATAAATTGACCGAAAAAAGAGATATATTTATGAATCGTAAGTTTCTGCTTCTAGACTGAAAAACTTATATCCATTTTAACAGATGCTGGCATCCGTTTAACTGGTTCCAACGTGACATTTGCTGGACGTGTTGAGGTTCTTTCTTATGGAGTCTGGGGACGTATCGATGGATCTTCGTCTTGGGATAGAACAGAGGCTGAAGTGGTGTGCAGACAACTTGGTTTCCCAGGTGTCGTCACGGCCTTAAGATATTCACCATTTGGGGAAGCATCTGGACCAGTCTTGATGTCTAACGTACGTTGCATAGGAAATGAGAAGACTTTAAAACAATGTCAGTACAATGACTGGCTTAAGATTAATGTTTATCAAAACAGAGAAGCGGGTGTGATATGCAAAACCCCTGAAGTCAGCACTGATATACGCGGTAAGTACTGGATGATAACTCTCGCTTTCTGAAATAAATTTCAAGGCGTCCAATATAGGATTTCAAGCTTGCTTTGGTCCTTTTTTGCACATGTTTCTTTAGTGTTAAGATGTGCACAAAATGAGTAAGTCAGGTAAACTTCATGGATTAAAATCCTTTAATTATAAAATCCTTTTATTATATATTAAGTTTCGTTGGTGAGTTTGGTCAGAGATACCATATTCTTTTAGTGCAATGTCTACTCTTTCAAAGACGGTACTTTGTACAATTAAATTCATACTAAGTGAGGTCATGTAATCAGGCACGTGACATTGAGATAGCCTTCTTTTGAGCTGTCTTTTAAAGTTCTTGGTGATCACTCGCTCATTCATGTTAAGCGTCAGGTTGACGAAATTAATTCTTTGTATCTTCTTCCCTACACTACAAATCAACCGTACAAATCAAGGCGGTTTATTTTCCTTTGTCATTTAAAATTCTTGTGGTAACCAACTAATTGTTTTCCGTGAAAGCAAACGCAGCACAACAGTCTCTTTGAACCTGCTAGCCTTGTTCATTTTATTTTCTGGAGTTACACTAATGATTATGCGTTATCAATTCGTTTTAGATATTTCAATTCGCCTTCGAGGATCCTCAATCCCTAATGCTGGTCGGGTAGAAGTGCTGTACGCAGGAATCTGGGGAGCAATCAGTGGAACAAACTGGGATGTAAACGATGCAAAAGTGGTGTGTCGCCAGCTTGGTTACCAAGCTGGTCCAGAAATAGCTTCGGCAAACGGTGTATATGGACCGGTCAGCGGTCCTGTATGGATAACTAATCTTCAATGCTATGGAAGTGAAGCTAACTTAATGAGCTGCTCTCATGATGCCATTGGTAACAAGTCTGAAACACAAAATCGGTGGAACGTTGCTGGTGTCATATGCAAGAATTCGTCCCACACGAATAGTAGGTGGTTTGTAGCTTTGTTTTTACAGATATTCTCAAGAGCATGGCAAGATTTATCTGTTGTTAATGTTCACGTGTTGCTTCGACTATGCCTTTCATCTTTGCTTAGCCGAATCATGAGAATGCAACTTGTGGTAGACTTTATAGCCATATTAATGGAAGATTAGCGTTTTAAGAGCACTAACTGGACACAGAAACTCTTAACTTTTACTTTGCCTCTCGATGTACGGGTACAGAAAATGCGGTTTCATAAGTTTATACCCACCACGATTTTAAGTTGCGCCTAATGGGAGGGTGTCAACGAGCCACTTTCCACAAGTCAACTTAATGGTTAAATCTTGTTGACTGAAAGCTGCTTAGAGAGGGTCACATAGCTTTTGTTTCTCGAAATTGTGTTTTATTTTCATCTTGATTGTTCAAGTGCTGAAAGGTTTGTATTTGTATTTATTGAAGTCGCCTAAATTGCATCTATTGAATCCACATGCGGTATCTGAGATCAGTGCGAGTTGGTGTCCTGGAAATTTTGTTGTGTAATTTATAAAATAGGTTATTCCTGGGGATTGTTATACTTTTGCATTATTTACCAAAAGCCACATAACCGGCTCATGCCATTGAGTACCTTAGAAAGCATATTCCTTCAAGCTTTTAAGTCACATGTGACCCCCAATGGTATGCAAATAAGAGGTAGAATTGTAAATTCAAGTGAGACACTCCTATACGCTTGGAATTTTCGCATGACCATCTCATTCCAGCAAATGTTACCGTAAATTCTCAGCAAATCTCAATCGACCTCGACCTCGACCTCGACCTACATGCGCAGTTCAGCTTGATTTTTCAATTGTTGGGGACATCTCGGCATGATTAGATTTTCAACACTAGGGGCTGGATCCTTTCCCACTTTGATTATTTTTAATTAGTAGACCTCATCTCAGTGAGAGTCTCTCTCCTGCAAAGGAACAAATGGAACCTCTTCGCTTTCTGTAAGGGAAATATTAAACGAAATGAAGACGGAAGTGAATCCAACGGTATCGACCTTTAGATAAAGGCGACTGTACGTCGCAGTCGATATGATTTTTATTTCATTCTTTTACATCAGGAATGCTGGTTAGGCTACGGGGATCTTCTTCACCAAATGTGGGACGAGTGGAAGTTAATTATGCAGGAAAGTGGGGTTTAATTTACAACTCCGGCTGGGATATCAAAGACGCTACAGTTGTCTGCCGGCAGCTGGGATACACTACAGCTTTACTTGCAGGAAGCCGATTATTTTGCTCAAGTACTTTGCCATTTTTGTTTGCAAACTTCAGGTGTTATGGAAATGAATCAGCGTTGGACCAATGCATTTGGGATTTCACTCCTCCAACCTGGTCAGGTTCTTACTGTGCAAATGTTATGTGCAGCAATGGTAGAGCTGACTCAGGTGAATAATAATTTTACCCACACCCAGAGAGTGATATACAAGTAACTGCCATAAAAATACATAATTATATGGAATTCAGGTGTTAAGGAAATGAATCAGAGTTAGAACAGTGTGCTTGGGATGTCTTTGAATATAACTGGATAAATTCCTATTGTGCAAATATTATGTGCAACAATGGTACGGCTGATTCAGGTGAATGTCATTTTTGCACACTCTTAGATCATGATAAACATTAAAAGACAGAAAATTGCATGGAAACCAGTTGCTTCTGTTTGGTATTGTAAGCCGTGTCGCGCGTACCTTTTACCTGACTGATCACATGCTGTTAGTCTAATTCAGGCGATAAACTCGACTGGGTTGGCGTCATCTTAGGAACGAATATACTCAAAAGCGATTGAGGGGTATTCATGGTGCATAGTTTCTCCAGCGTTCCATTGTCGCACAGCTCTCCCATTATCGGGTGTTTTTTTTCTTTTTTGTCGTTGACATTCGTGCTTCTGGGATTTTTATTCTTCTGTCTTGTCCATGCTATTGGGGAGAAGTCTTATCAGCATGCATATCATTTGCCCTGTGTTTGTAACAATAGTCAATCAGGATGAAATAACTCTTATTTCTATCCAGGTCAGAGCTTGCATACAGGATTTCCAGTCAGCGCTTTTATGTTCAAGAGTAAATCAAGGAGCTTGACTGAGATATCCAACTCGTAAACTGAGGCACCGACCTATCCCATTATGGAACAATGCAAAATTTGTTAAACATCATCCCTATTTTTAAACACGCAGTGGAAAAAAATTCTTTTTCGCCATAATCAACAATTATTTTTTCCTTACATCTCTCCTAGGATTTGATATACGTCTTACAAATTCTTCTGTCAGACACGCTGGTAGGATAGAGCTTCGAATTCATGGGGTTTGGGGTACTCTTCATTCTCATTACTACGATATTCATTATATCAATGTTGATGGAGTAATTTGCAGACAGTTAAACTTCTCTGATAGTATCCTTGCAGTTGGCCGAGCTGCGTTTGGACCGGGAACTGGCCCTCAGTGGTATGACACCTGGGACATAGATTGCCTTGGATACAAGAGTAATTTACAAAATTGTACTCATTACAGCCAACCTCGATTAACGATCTATAATCGTGAAGATGATCTCAGTGTCATTTGCAAACCAAGTGCTGCACAAGCCAATGGTGAGTTATTACCTTATCTCTGAGCAGTTTAGATAACGGATTGAATATACACAAAGATTGTTGTCGCGTTGTGGACACTGAGATGAAAGAAAAGGCAAAGAAAAGGAAAAAAAATCCATTGACTGATTTTCCTCAATAAGGTGATGTGTTTTATTACAGTTAAATTGTGCGTGAAGAGTTTTGCATTCCTTTTTCTGATCAATTTGATAGTGACGTCTAGGAACTTTACTTTAGAGGGAGATACCTAACTCTACGAAAATTCAGGTTCCAATAACATATATCGGTATACAAGGTGTTTCAAAAGGTCGTGCCCTTTTTTGAACAAAGGAAAAAAAAAACAATTAATCCTCAACTTTCCGTTTCATGAAGCCCTGCAAGTTAATAACCTTAGTGGTATCTAAGTGGCTTTATGGTTGAGGATATTCTTATTCTGATTACAGACATACATAATTGAAAATTCTTATTACAAAAATACTTGATTAAAAGGGTTTGCCCCGCAAATAGCTAAGCTAGTCGCGACGGGGCAAAACAAGAACGTGATTAAAATAACAAGTTATGGAAGAATAATAATAAATAAGGCGAACCTATGTTAATAGAAAAAAAAAAACCTTGCAGATTGCAACTAGAGATAAATATACACAGAAGTTGGGAGATAAATTAACAAAGCACTTACGGACGAACAATGTATAAAGACAAGGAGTTGCAAAAGGAAAGCAGACGTAAAATAGGACCCTCAGCACGCGTTTCTATGATCCTACTTTTTTAATAATCATGGGGATTTCAATATACACGTACTCATCTTCCTTTACTAATATATCAAGTAACAATTTGCGGATATCTTTTTTGAAAGCTTTCTTTGGGAGATTCCACAGTTAAACTCCGAGCCGAGAAAAAGAATTGCTTTGTATTTCAAGTCTAGAAAATTTAACATAAAACTTGCCAGACGTAGAAGATCATGTATTGTATGAGTGGATATAAGACGCTTTCTGAAATAAATTTAACATGTTTGCTGGGGCTTTACCATTATTCATATCGTGCATTAAGGTTGATACGGACTCATAGTAAAGAAAAGTTATTGGAAGCACGTTAGCTTCGAAAAAAAGAGGAATTGCCTGGTCATGCCATTCAGCAAAGTATGATAAACGAAGCACTCTTTTCTGAAGAATTAGTATTTTGTTAAGATAAGTCTTGCATGCCTGACCCCAGGCAGCAAGATCATAAGTTAAATAAGGATAAATTAATGACTTATAGATGTTCAGTAGTACAAGTCGGGTACAAAATTGCGTAACTTTGCAATTAACCCGATAGTCTTACTAATTTTTGTTACAATGGAATCAATGTGATATTTCCATGAAAGATTCTGATCAATAAGTACGCCCAGGTATTTTATGTAGACTTTAGACTCGAGACAAGTATATTTATTCTTATCATTATCAACAATGTAAAGTTTTGGTTGGTAAGCAAGTCTTATTTACTCTTTTTTCATGGGCAATTTTTGTGGCGGGCATATCCCTCTTTGACTTTTTTTACTTTTTTAGGCTACATGATATAGAACGAAACAGCTCTTTTTAGGTAATGGAGGAACTTTTTCTCCATGCCCGGCGGGATCATGTTTACTGTAGTTGGCGTCGGTCAACACTATCGGTCGGCTATCGGCCGACACTCTGCCGATATGTAGGCCGCGTGCCGGTTGAGTATCGGTCCAGCACCAGTTGATATGTCGGCCGATACTCGACCGACACTCGGCCGATCATCGACCGATATGTCGGCCGAGTGTCGGTCGATAATATCAATGATCTATCGGTAAACTATAGGTGAACTGCCCGCGAGCTAATTTGTTCTAACAAGGCGATAATTTCCCTGATTATAAAACTTGATAAAACCCGACTTCCTCTTTTATATTGAAGCTCAAAAGAAAGTGGCAATCGGATAAACGTGGACATTCGGAGTTTGCTTATTTTGGCGGGATAATATTAATTTTAAATTTGTTCTTTTTTTAGCCTCTAAAAAAAACTTTAAAAATTTTAAAGAGAACAAGAAAAATAAAGTAGTTGCACATTAAAAAACCGCTTCCTTGACGTGAAAATAAATAAGATTTAGACTTCTAAAAACAGGGCACGAATTTCGAAACACCTTTTAAATCTGATACAGTGATGATGTACATCCCTCCTTTACAAAGTTCATTGTACTGAAGAAACATTGTAGTCTTGAGACTTGACGTTTGATTGTAAGGTTATTGGCTGTATCTTGACTTAAAGGGCTTTGAAATTCCAACTTTAAGGGGAAGTGGACGCTCAAATGACTAAAGGTATCCTTGATTTCAACAATGTTTTCAGATTTCGAGGTTCGCTTAACGGGATCCAGGTTGAATTTTGCCGGAAAAATCGAGGTGATGTATTACGGAGTCTGGGGAGGAGTACTTGGCATTGGTTATATTGATATCAATGTAGGTCATGTGGTGTGTCGTCAGCTGGGATATCCAGGTGCTGATGAGATTTTCCAATACGCAGCTTTCGGACAATTGAAAGGGCTTTTGTGGATTGGGATGATACGTTGTGTTGGGAATGAATCGAACATCTCAGACTGTGTAGTGTCAACGTGGGAGGACCCAAGTATTCCCTACTGGATTCGATCTTATTACCAAAATCCATTTTATGCAGCCGGTGTATTATGCAGACAGGCAAATTTCAACTCAACCCAAAGTGAGTCAAAACTGGTCGTTCTATCGAAGTAATAAAATTATTTTTGAAGCAATCTTTTACGCTAGCCTTAGTATTTAAGTCTCGATGAACTTTTTTTAAAAAAAAAGCTTAGGCAGGCTGAGTTCTTCTAGATGCTTGTTGATTGCTGAATGAACCTGAACCTTTATACTTGTATAAATTTCAGCCGTATAGCCAACATACCCTTTATTGTACAGACTTCTTTTAAAATTCTTCAACGAAGCATTTCCTGGTAACATTTACGTGGAGGAGGGTTCAAAGAGTGTCATTTAATGGGTTTTCTAAGACGTACAAGTTCCAAATAGCCTGCGGCTGTTTGCCGTAGGAATAAACAACTACCTACTAGCCTAAAGAAATGCTTAAACCTCAGTAAAGTTATACATTGGCTGAAACAAGCTCAAGAGTGATGGGATTTCACAACGTGAATGTGGCATGCACTGACTTAAAATTTTGTTTCGAAATTTTCTGCAATAGCTTTAATGTCGCTATTAAAACTAGAAAAAAAAACGCGATGGGCAGACATAACAAAAACATAATCTTCAATGAATAAAATGAAAAATCTTAGACCTAGGCTAAAATTCAACCACAGCTTTTATCTTACTGAATACCCGCGCTGTCATGATAACTTATGTTTGTTTTTCTAGTGTTAAATGTGAGGCTCACTGGTGCTCCAATCAGTAATGCTGGACGAGTAGAAGTGTTTTACGCCGGAGACTGGGGAACAGTAGATAGCTGGGGATGGGACATCAATGCTGCTCACGTGGTATGCCGTCAGTTGGGGTATCCTGCGAGTCTTTCATCTGGTTATAATAATCAGTTTGGTTCGAGCACTGGGCCGAGGTGGTTTAGGAACTTGAGATGTTTTGGCAACGAGACAAATTTAGGAGAATGTACAAAATATGTGTATGGCTACCCTTCCAGAGGATCAAGTGCTGCAACAGCTTTATGCAAGCTACCATATCAAGCAGGTGACCCAGCTACTTTTTGGACACAAGCTGATGTTGATATATTTTCATGAAATTACCTCCTCAGAATCTAATTCAAATTTACACTAAGACACTTGTATTCCAATAATGTACCCAGCCCTAGTTTTTTTAAAAAAAAACGCAAGAACGCGCGGAACACGAAGGACGAGCGCAGAAGGGCAAGGATTAAGGCGTAATCAATGAAATCAAGACAAAACAAAAACAAAAAAAAGATACAAAAATAGAGAAATGTAGTGGGCTGTACACAATTTTTGATGCCCTCTTATCTGAATTTTCCTTCCAATCCTTTCCAGAATGTTGTATGTCCAGTCGTGTTCCACTTAAGTACTATTCCATGCACGCAAAAAACTTAAATGATTGAATAAGTAAATAAAAGATAGTATTATATTACGATTGGCGAGAAGTTGGGGGATCTTATGAAAGTAGTGTCCTGTATAATGAAATAGACGGGGTTTCCCGACGCTTATATCTTTGCAAACTGATCTTTATTATGTTTAGCAGCGTTTCATTCCCTCTTTTAATAAGCACACTAATCATCTCTAAGAATATTCTCTTCTTTCCGCTGTCACTTTCAAGGTATCCCTTCAAAATGCGCGAAGTTCAAATGTCAACACCGAGGAACCTGCATTGATACTGGAGGTGGTGCTATTTGCAACTGCACAGAAGGATTCACAGGAATCCATTGTGAAAAATGTGGGTGAAACAACTCAGTTATGTTATCATTACATTTTTATTAGATCGCAACTGTTTGCAAGTTTTGGATAATCGTTGATAATGCGCAGAGCGATTATGAAAATGGAATTTGAACGTGCAAGCAACAACGCAGTTTCAACCCGTATACCTTAAAGATAACTACGTGCAAGCCCATTTTGTTTTGACTGACAAAAACTGATTACATAGATCCATATTCGCATACTTTGTACCCTAATTTCAAAGTCGCAAAAGATACGTGCTTATAGGAGACTCAGATTCCCCTTTTTGATAATGCCACTCCTCTTGGTTTATTGCACTTATCATAACCGTGAGTAACGCTCCCATCAGGAAGAAGAACACAACCAAGGGGTTTAAAACTTTGATTTTAAAAGATTGCAAAGTTAAAAGCATAATCGTTTTAGAGCTCACCGCATCCCAAACGCAAAAGAAATTCCGTTCACCCACCTTTCTCTGCTTTGGGGGGTCTAGACGTGATTTACCTGGTTTGAGCATCAGACGCTTACTATTTTCTGCTAATCAGTTCAAATATACAATTTGTATAGGTATATATTTATTTCCTGGCACTCTTAAAATGTAAAAATTAGCATAACGTAAAAAATACACATTGATATTATTACTTTCGTACCATCACACCAAAGTGATCGCTGCAGTATCTTTTTTGGTTTGTCTTACCCCTGTAGCACTATCCAATCCATGTCAGAATTTTCCGTGTGAGAATGGTGGAAAATGTTTTAGCTCAAAATCTTCATATATCTGCTCGTGTCCCGATGGGAGGTCGGGGCTTCGTTGTGAGGAGCGAACTACAATCAGTAAGTTTATTTATGTCTTCTTCCGTTGTTGCAAATGTATAGAAATATGAAGTTAGGTCAGTTCTGGTAATGAGCTGAAAGAACCTGTGGGATATGTTGTGATGATCGTTGAAAGCGAGGCTAGGTGACTTCCCAACAAAACTCGTGACCACAGCACTATAAACTTGAGGGTCTAGCTATTTTTGCTCATTTAATTTTGAAAATTTTACTTTTTAATTCTCATTTCCTTTCCTCGTGAACTTGAAATCTTTGTTGTAAAGTAACTATATAAATGTTGAGCCAAAACATTACATAGGAATCCTTAACACTTTGTTGAAAATAAAACGCGTCCTATACAATCCTCAATTTTGCTGAACCTTTCTCTGAGCAATTATTTTTTAATACAGTGCCAAGAGGGCCAAAAGCTAACAATGGAAGAACAATCATTAAGTTGAATCCACGCTCTATAAATAGAAAGCCTGTAGCTCACCGACTGCGTAAAACCATGGTTTGGGTTAGACTTTGCGTTAATAACCAGTCCTTGGTGGCCAAATAAAGTTATACCATTTGAGTCACAACGAGTAAGAGTTGTTGCATTTTTAAAGAGGGCTGAATTCTTCCTAAGTTTTGAATTGGAGGTGTTAACTTTTTCTTGTTCCTATACTTTGCAGCCGTGAGGCCGTGCCAGAGCCACCCGTGCACAAACAATTCATTTTGCCACGATAATGAAACTCATTACTCCTGTGTGATTAACGAAGCTGAGAATCCAGCATCTTTAGCGACCAGCGGTAAGCTTTAGCGTTTTTCTGTGTTCTGTTGTCCATTTTTTCTCAAAATCATCATTAATTTATTAAGCTGTGACATGAAGATTGTAAACGTGATAATGGCAGGGAAACTTAGATATGTTTCCCCGATTGATGAGGTATATCAAACGCACGAACTATATATTTTCATATTCTAGAATTCCTTGAAAGTTTTTTAAAACGCACGCCATCACGGACGCCTCAGATGGGTCCTTTTCATAAAGTTTACCTAGACATCATTTTCTTCTGCAGATGGATCCTCACAGAAACAGAACGGAAGTACAACCTCCAAGACTACTTTTATCATAATATTATCAATACTGGCATCTCTTGTGTTCCTTCTTATTGCTGCAGTTATTTACCTTATCTTTCAAAATCGGAGGCTTTCTACACTTAAAGCTAGAAACCAACATGCAAACTTTAGCAATATGGCCTTTAGAAGTGATAAAGAGGAAACCAACAACTGTGACGAAATCGACTTGGGAACAGGAGCAAATCAGAGTTCAATACCGACGAGGGACAACACTAACCCATTATATGAAATAGCTCCTTTCCATGAAACAACTACCTCTCGAGCTCTTCCACCAATTCCACCACCACATAAGGCGGCAAGAATGAATCCCCAAGCTGCTCGTGAAAAAGCCAACCGACGAAATGGCGGTGTGAAGACGAGAGGAGCCGCGGAGGGGCCGAAGAGGACCACGAGAGGGGCCGAAGAACATTATATGGCTTTATCAAAGGAGAACAACAGCACTGCCTCACGAAATATCTCAGCTGATGGAGGACCGAATCCCAACGAATACATGTCTCTGTCACAAAACAGGCACACAGATATTTCTCATTCTTAAAGTCATCAAGTGTCTGACTTAACATGACAAAGATTGAAAGAAAAGACGGAAGGATCTGAAAAAATAGAGTCAGAAAACTTTGCTTAGTCTTAGAACAAACTAATATCATTGTTTGCAAAATTTGTTCACCTGGGTACTCAAACTTGTCTATTCCTTCAAACGAAGCATTATTCTAAGAAAACCAAATACCTAGTGTCTAAATAGCACTTGGCATGGTGGAAGGCTTATAGATGAGATAGTCTTGGGTTTACTCCCCTCTTGTCTGGTCAAAATGAATTCGAGACGTAAAGTACAGATGACCTAGTTTGAATTTATTAGAGCACGGAGAGAGAAGTTACAAGTGTGAACTCTATACTATTACGTTTTTTCAAGCAATGCACTTCTGTATAGGTCCTAGCTGCTTAACGCATTATCCGCGATATTT